TTGGTTTTCAGTGCTTCATCAGCTTGTTAAATACCGAAATGCTGATATCTTATACCTCATTTTTTGTCAAGTGTGCTTATGCGTTATACCTCATTTTCTGCTTTGCCCAAATGGTACCACTCATTTTCACTTCTTTTAAGATGTTATGCTGGGAAATTTGTATATTGTTCTCTCTTTTACTGAATAGAAATTTGCACATTCGCAACTCATTGGCAACAGAATTTCTCAAAGTTTGCATATTGCAACTTTAAATTTACGTTTCTTTTTTTACATTATATATAATGTTCGTTTTCAGTGGCAGTAGCAAAGCGGTACATCTTAGCGATCATGGAAAAAAGTAATATTTGAAAGGCTTATTCTAATACTTTCGCTTTGCTGGACATTCTGGGCGTTTTTTGTGCGGCTTTCATCGACTAGAAGACGAAATACCACTTAGCGGACCTTATAAAATAGTTTAGGCAGCAGATCCCGGAAAAGGTTTACCTAGTCCAGGACAGGGAGGCTCAGTCACCTTCGGCAAAAGTGTCGCGGAGTAATGGATGTGCGAAGATTTCGTTACTAATTTGCAGTTAGTTATTTCAGGTTACCTGATGTCTAAGCCAGAACCTGAACCACGGGTATTGGGCGCTGTAGAGTCAAAACGAGTGTCTTATTTAAAACCGAGGTCGAGGATTAGCGTTTTTTGGGATCGCTTATTATACAATGTCAGGTATACGAGCCGTCACTGGAAAGATCGCGTATATGTTCGATTTACTGTTGGTATACTCATTTATACTGTCGGGTAAGTATTTAGGTTGCCAAGCACCGTTTTATTGTACGTATTTTGAAGTAACATTTGGGAGTTATTCTCGGCAAGTTGTCAGCATTCGGGCTTTTAGTGAGATGTGGTGGGGAGTTGGAGGTGATAGAGGATTGATTTCGGTGTTAACATGCGAAGTTGGTGATGATTGAGGGGATGAATTTTTTTAAACCACATAATGTTGCTGTTCCAGCTCAAATGATTGTTCATTCTTGTTTCTACACGTCGTGCGCATTTACGTCTGTGTGTGTTTGTTTGTTCGAATTTGTGTGTGTGTATGTATGTATGTATGTATGTATGTATGTATGTATGTATGTATGTATGTATGTA